GTCCATGTACTGAGCAGAAGTACGACGGACGCTGCAAAAAAGCACATCTGACAGGCAATTAACAAGCAATGGGATATCTCAATGAAGAGAAAACATAAAACATACTGCGCATTGAGGAAAAGGTAGCAAAACATTCTGCTGTACCATCGCCCTCGCAACATGGGAACACGCTCGAGCTGCCATCGCACACATGGTTAGGGATGGGACGGACACTGAAGTAGGGTTTGAGGCTTCAGGGATGAATGGCCTATTTTTCGTAAAAGCGTCAGAATACGGAAGGGAAATGAGTTCAAGTGTGATATGTACCTATGGATGAATATCTAGAAGTAGGGGGAGAAGGACGAGGAGAGAATAGGATTACGATAAAGATCAGCACACACAGGAAAGAGCTCACACCTGCATGTGGTAGTAATTACAATACAGCATTGCAGATTGCTTGAAAAAAGGCCCTGGGCGATTCGGATCCCATTGTACTACAATGTATCAGCACAAATCCACAAAGGTCTTACATGAAAACAAACAATGTTCTGGCACTGCGTTTAACCACTGGTTGAGAAAAGAATCCAACTGCGCAATTAGCTGCTGCATTGACTGTATTCTCGGGCGACTAAAAAGCAGCCCATGTTGTCGTATCGGATACTGAGCGTCATTTAGCATGCAGCAGCAGCCAGCTTTAGCAGCCAAAACGTGACTCACAATAGCACGCATGGCATAGGCTAATATGTCCATGAGTTTCAAGAAATGTACAAAGAACGAAAGCTTGGATGGTGTATCAGCCGGTTGTTTGAAGTTCATACTGGGGTCAGGGTGGTCCCAATACTCATCATCGCAGTCAACTGGAAATTCCACGTCGTATCTAAGGTAAGATTAGCAACAGAGCGGAGGCTGGATGTATAAGTTTTACTCTTCCTCGTGGATTGTCGCAGGCCGACCAGCAAATGAACCATTAGTTCTGTCATGAATTAGAAGAACAAAGAAGGCGCGTTTCCACAATTCATCCATTACAGTTGGACAAGGAATATTTCGCGTACGATGAGCGCCTACATCCTTTTCAAACCATTAGCTGACAACGTATGTTAATAGTGACCGTTTTCTCACCTGTGCTAAGCGTAAACCGAAACCGATCTGAGTCCAGATACTTTTCGAGACTGTCGTACCCTTGAGATAAGCCACTGCCAACTAAAGACATTTCTTAGAAGGAATACATTGGAACAGTCGCAAAGAAACTTACTGCATAGCATTGAATCTCGTGGAGAGTAGGTTTCGCCGATGACTGCAGGTTGGTTCGTACAATTGGTACTTGAACGTACCAATGCCAACCAGCACTGGAAGGAACAGAAGGTCCTTCGGAAAACACTCTTGGGTCATCACAATAACGAGCACCAATCGCGCAGACAAGCAACACAGTGCCACCAAAGAATGGATCGTGTTGATGAAAGCCGTCAGCTATTCCATTTTCAAATGTAGGACGGTGGAGCAGGGGTAGTATCAAGTTCCTATAAAGTAGTTAGCATCAACTAAAAGCACCCTGGACCATTCTTACACATTTTCAAAGTATAAATCCACACAGGCCGCCATTAAGATCTTCGGGAGGGAAGTTATACTGTGGCTGCGGATATTGTAGATATCGTATTTGCCACTGAGACGGATGTTAGCGATTTATGAGAATAAAATGTTGCGAGGACCCACATCTTCCGGGCCACGCATCACACTTGTGCGATTAAAAGACTCGCCCACAAATTGTTGTTTGTGATGTAACGCTGTTTCGACGAGATATAAAGTACTGGAACGTCCAGAAAATCGCTTGCGGCTAGGATCCAATGTTAGGTTTTCTAGATGCATGGTCAGGGAGTGATCGTTACGCGGCAGCTCCGCTTCAGGCAAAGGACAGTCAAAGTCATTGTCTAGTTCCTCGGCAATATCTACGCCAGGTAACATCTAACATATTGGAATTAGTTTAAGAATTAATATCCTAGGTAAGAGCGCACTTTTTGTAAAAGCATCTGCATCTTCTCCAGCCGCTGTTCTAAGCCCTCTACATATCTGCATTCATGACGCATTAATACATTTCTCGGAACCGTATGATGAACCATTCGTACCCTTTCGCGGATCCGAGGTTCTAGTGAGTACGATATTAGCTATCGGACTCGTGAAACTAGTTCAAGCCTGTTACACACCTTGGTAAGTTCGACATGGGTACAGTCAGCGCCTGCATTGACGCAGTTCGTACATCGTTGCCCTACCATTCCTCCGCTATCGCCTGCATCTTAAGGTGTTAAAGAATGTAACTTGAAGGGGAACTTTGGTCTCACATCGAACTACAGGAAGATACACAATGTTAAGAATCATTCATGAGAGAGGCGCTTGTGACTTGCTTTTCCTTTTCTTGCACAGATCACAAGCTAGCTTATAGAAGGAAAATCAATTCTTTTCCAGGTTTATTGTGGCACAAACTGACCTCCTGGAAGACGGCGCTTCTTTGAAGAAGCGTTTTCAGAGGTACCAGAGCCAGGACTCATGGTGGAGAGGTGAGTTGAAGGAGCTAATTATAATAAGCGCCCTAATTTAACTGAAGTCATCTTCGAGCATCCTCTCACGGCCGACGCCGTTAAAATGATAAAATATACAAAACCATTAAAATGACTTCAGTCATCTAGCTAGCCTGCATGCCAGAATCCGACAGCAATCCAACTACGCGAGCGTCGAACCATCTCGCTGGAGATCTCGACGCGTCAATTTACATTGCGAAAAACCCAAGAGGCTAAATCCTGTATGTAGTAGAAGGGAAGAAGCGCATAGACAATCGCAATTGCAATCATAACTTTGCATATTGTCGACGCGAATAATTGTCTCGGCAGCGCTCTCAGCCATCGAAAGTTTCTTCAGTTTCTCTTCAAGCCTGTTGCAGTACTTATTCCAATCTGGATCGCGCAGGAGACACCCAGCGTTCCAGCTGCAATACAAGCCTTTTGAATTCAATTGGACGTCACCGTCTTGTCGAGGATTTTCAGTGCTCCATTTGGAGTCTGGACTCCGTAACTTTTACTAATTAGAGCAGCTTTCACCGACGCACTGCTATTACGTTAACTTACAATCTTTAATTGCTCCTGCCCTCTACGAAGAGAGGAATACGCTAGGCTCTCCTATATATGCATTAGGGAAACATATGGTTGCGCTCGACATATCCGAAATCACCTTTGAAACACACGCTTCGGGGCTCTCGTTGTTGAATTCAGCCAAGTGTTATAAACCTCAGAATCAAATACGACTCGGAAGTGCTGATTCGGACAATGGAGAAGCTAATGCTCATTCATCATCAGAGCAGATCAGCCAAGGCTTGGTGTTAATGCTGGCGCATGGAACTGGATATCGTACGTATAGAAATACATACGTCATTCATGGAACTCGCCGAAATGATACTAATGTCTTCAGACAAAGAACACTGGGAGCCTACTATTTCGCATTTGTTTGACCTTGACTTCGAACGTACCAATTTCGCAAACGGTTCTTCCGAGCAGGATGACTACTAACAATGGTTCATATGGGTCGCTGATAATACGGGAAGCTTGGGCTCTAGACGTCCAAAATCATGGCCAGACAGCCAGGTTGAATGAGAAGATTACACGGGAGAGACCAGAGGCCTTGGTGTAAGTTCCGCTTTATATTCCAAACTACAATCCCGTTAATCGATTGAGTAGCATCATGGGATTATGCAGATGCGTTTGCGACCCTCCGGAGAGACATACTCGGTGCTGACCCCAGTTATCGAGATAATAAGTTTGTTTTGGTTGCGCATTCTGCTAGTGCTACTGCTGTGTAAGTCCATGGCACACCTTTCGTTACTCCGACTGACTGTTTTGCTGTTTAGCATCCTCGCCACGACCTTCTTCCCTGTCCCCTCCCTCTACCCACGTATTTTTCACTCTCTGATCCTCGTTGAACCCGCCCTGGTCCCTCCAAAATACATCGATCCCTCCCAACACACACCTCTCTTCCGCTCAATCTCCAAGCTCATGGCTTCCCGCAAGGACACATGGGCGTCAAAAGACGAAGCCAGAGCATGGATGGAGAATCGACTTCCGTGGGGAGCATGGGATGAGCGAGTACTGAGAATTTACATTGAATATGGGCTGGGTAAGTTGCAGGGCGCAGATGGGACGGAGTTAGAGTCGGAGGTCGTGACGTTGATGTGTACGAAAAGTACAGAGACACTGGCGTATGAGCGGGGAATGGTCCAGGGGCAGCCGGGGTTGTGGCAGTTGAATTTGTTGTGTAATGTGAATGCGGGAAAGAGACGAAGGGTGCAATGGGCAAGTCGGTGTTGCCGATTCATGTTGTCTGGGGAGAAGTGGATGATTTGTTCTCGAGGGAGGTGAAAGATTCGCTGGAGGATCGGGAGCAGGGGAGGGTGTTTACGACTGTGAGGAGAGTGGAAGATGTGGGACATATGGTGAGGATCATTTATCGTACTGCATGCTGTTCGCTGATTCGGAATTTGTAGATGGTGCAAATGGCTCCGCAAGCGACGGCCAAGGCTTTATGGGATATCTTTGTGGAACCTGAACTAGGAATAAAGAGTAGACTTTAAGTATGATAATGATTCAGTACTTCCTAACCTAGCCAGCCTGGTGGAGGATTGCAACTCGGAGTTTTAGCATGCTCGACATCAAGCTCGACGCATGCCTCGGCATAGTATCTGTAAATTTAGATCCTGACGAAGAATAGCTACATGCGCATCGGTGGCACGAGTGTCGTAAAACATTTTTTGAGCGGTTTCCTGAACGCGTTTTTCTTCTGAGCTACTTATAATTATAAGGGGCTTGCGCGCGCTAATTAGGCTTTTCAAGACGCACTTGTTTCTTTATGTCTACTTCATCCGCCGGTTCTGATTCAGAACTCTACGAGATATTTTCGACAAGGATCCAGAATATAGGATAATGATTCATTACTGCTTAATGAAGAAAACAAAAAAAATATTAAACCGGACCAAGCGACCTTTATTCCGACACGGGGAATCGAACCCCGGGCTATCGCGTCAAGATATTAGCATTATGAGAGGCGATAATGTTAGCCACTACACCATATCGGAACTCATGAGCATACGTTCAAACCGGTCCGACTTGCCGCTATTCCGCCCCTTTGTGATTACGTTCTCCATATCACCATGCTCGTTGCAGATCATTCCCTTCCCTTGATGTATTTCTCAGGAGGTCAGAAATTGGGAACGGAATCCCGGCCTGGACTTTCCCATTTACAAGCAATTTCGCCTGGAACTCAGCAGCAGCAAGTCGGGAGTCCGCCACCAACTTCTCCATGACTTACTAGTACAGCCATGTATTGATCACATCCTGTGTAGTTACATCTCTGTATGCGATTTTCAATCGCTCCCATGCACTATCCTTCTCTTCTTGCAAGTTGCAACCTTTTCTGACCGGCCAATATGTCGTTTGCATCAACAAACTCTGCCTCTGCAATAGATCTGTTTGCCCAGTATTTCTATGATGAACCAATCCGATACATTCAGCTTCTGGAGATGGCTTTTGAGTGCCCAGAGCCTCTGGAGAAGACTAGGTGAGCACAAGTTTCGCTACAGTTCACCATATAACAAGCAATGATTAACACCTTTCTTTTAGCGACTCGGAAAATTCATTTTCAGTAATCACGAAGCTCGCTACCTCTTTTCGAAACGATCCAGAATTATTGCTTGCTTTGAACGCAATACTCTCCAAAGAATATCGCTTGATTTTCGCTCTAGAGAGTCCAATGTCCGTTACCCATACCATCGACCGGATTATCATCGCATCATCAAAAGAAAGCTGTATCGTGGATCTTGACGTTGGTCCTGAGTCACAACCGTCGAATGCCAGCGTTGTCTGCCTGAATTCGCTTACCCTTTCGTACAACAAGCCAAATCCGCGTTCTAGCAGCATGCTGAGCGACTGCATGAAATGCATATCGTTGTGGAGAGGAAGGATGCACCACTCGTGATGGAGCTGCTACAGGCTGTACTTGCTATTTCTTTATTGAACTTCAACACAGGTCCTGAGTCCTGATATCTTCACAGGAACTCGACCGAACGCGGACAGGCTCCGACTTACGGGGAAGATATCTGAAATCTTTCCGTCATTTGAATCAGCCTGCACGGTGTTTTACCCCCTTCGATGTATCTACGAGATATTGCTTGCGAGGGCTGTTTCCCGGTTGCAGGTGGTGGATTTTCAGTAAGTACACTATGAGTATCATCTCCGAACTCTTTATGGCTGATTAATCTTCATCACCGGTACAGGATGTCTGGATCGGTCGCTTGGGTGAACAGCGTGTATGCGTCAAGGTTCTGCGAATGTTCACGCAGCATGAAAACAGAGAAAAACTGTATTCAAGGTGAGGGACATTCTGCTGCCTGCATACAGTGCTCGAACAGATATTTGAAACACTACTTAGAGCTTGAACAACGAAGTTGTTTTATGGAGGCAACTCAAACACCCAAACATCCTTCCATTCCTCGGCATCAATACCGAACTATTTCGAACCCAGTTACTGCATTATCTCTCCGTGGATGTCAAACGGCGATATAATATCTTACGCCTCGAAATCCTCATTGGATATAGATAGAAAGCTCGAATATGTGAGTTCCTGTTGTTCGTGATTCTAATGATACAACTGAGCATCTTTAGGCTTACCAAATAGCTACAGGGCTAGCTTACTTGCACGGGCTTGAACCGCCAGTTGTACACGGTGATATCAAAGGGGTCAGTATTCTGTCTTCTTTTCCTTGCTCGAATAACAATAAGTAGTTGCTTAGGCCAACATTCTCATTGCTGATGATGCTCGCTGCTGCTTGGCTGATTTTGGGCTATCGGTGATGGATACAGCAGTCCTTCAATCCAACACATAGCACCACTATTCAAGGCTCTCTTCGCTGGCTTGCACCAGAGTTCATCAATCCTACATCTCAATTGCAGCCTGTTGCAGGCAGCCTAACGAGTCGAGATATATATGCTTTTGGATGTACTGTCGTCGAGGTGAGTTCATATGAACCTAGTGCCGTGGAATTCAAGTATTTAGCGTTAACCCATACAGCTGTTGACTGGTGTACCACCATTCTCTCAGCACAAGATGGATATTCATGTTGCTATTGACGTTCTAAATGGTGTAAGACCAACGCTGCCAGTGGATTTAATGGGTAACGAAGGCATCTCCAAAATACTTTGCCCGCTGCTCGATTCCTGCTGGTCGGAACAGATAGCGCGTAGGCCCAAGGCCCTGGATCTCTACATGCCTTTGCTGGAGTTGACTGGCAGTTTTTTGGAAGAGATGACTTTGGAAGAGATGACTTTGGACTCGGGTTGGGACTCAGCTTCGGACTCGACTTCCGAGTCGTGCAGTGCCACTGGGTGGGTATCAAGTACGCGGCTGCGCGGTCCTCGTCCTCTTGTTGCTGTGCCCAATCCGAACCAAGATCTGCGGAAGCTCAAGCCGCAGCCATATCATACCCAGCAACCTCAATCTAACGACCCCTATCTCTCTGAAGAATCACCAGTAGCAGTAGATATCCATTCCCCGGGAGACACCTGGGATGACCCCGTTTTACTGAAGGCATGGAAAGGTTATGTTGATAGACAATCGGCAATGGAGAGATTGAAGACTCTCTCCTCGGACGACTGAGGCAGGGAGGGCACCGATGGGCACCGTTGTACAAAGTGTACAGTGTCCAAGTTCTATAATTGTACTGTAATATCCATAGGTAGTTATAGTAGTGTGGTAAACTGCACTGGTCCTATATATTATCCGCCTCTTGAAATCCGATCTCATCAACAAACAGACTGTCAAACTCCAGTCTGGTGTGCTGTGGACTTAGTATCGTTCTCCAGAGCCACTGCAAATGTATTGCTGGCTAGTATATACGAAAGAGTATGAAAGCCTTGCAGTCAGTTTTTCAACCTTCGGAAATTCGGAACGGAATGTCAAATGATCGGGCGAAACTCCTCCGGCTCTCTCGTCGCCGCACAAGACCACGAACGACTTAGTACTACGATGGAGAATAACCGAAAGCCAGTGCTAATTGTCACCATGGTCTGTTTTACACGCTTGCCTCTAGCCAAAAAAATAACCAAGATTCTAGGGCGTATCTGGCACCGGGAAATCCACACTGGGCTCAGAACTCGCCAAGGAGCTCGGAATCGCTTTCATCGATGGAGATGACCTTCATCCACAATCCAACATCCAAAAGATGGCTTCCGGTCAACCACTAACCGACGCTGACAGAGAACCATGGCTAGAACTCATTCGTACTACAGCAGAGCATAAAGCCGTAGAGAAGCAGGTATCGATATCGGAAAATGGGTCAGAGTCCAAGGTGCATGGATTGGTGGTCGGATGCTCTTCGCTGAAGAAATATTATCGAGAGATCCTTCGAGGGAGACGAAAACAAGCTGCAGGCTCGGACGAAGCTGTATTGCCAGAACATCTCGAGCCGCCGCATCCAGATGTTTTACCGACCTATTTCGTGTTTATAAAGGGTTCGAGAGAGCTTTTGCTGGATCGGATGCAGAAGAGGCAAGGGCATTTTATGAAGGCTAGTATGTTGGATAGCCAGTTGCAAACGCTGGAGAGTCCGGAGGGAGAGGATGGAGTTGTCGTAGTAGATGCTGGAGATTCGACGGAGGAGCAGGTTGCAAAGGCAAAGAAAGGATTAAAAGAATTTGGTTTATAGGCTGTATAATATTGTGTATCATAGCTCAAGGTGTAGAAAGAAATGATTTATTCAAGGTTTAGGCCGGCATAAATTCGGGACGCGTCAGCATACGCGTCTACACTCGACTCTCATCTACACTATGGTAAGTTCGTTCAGGTCCTTCTTTCTGAGCACTCTATCTCATTCAACCTCTCAAAGTCTCGAAGATATGATAGTTCGTATTTCTTCGCAGTTGTTCTAACAATTCCTAACCATTATTGAACCCAGGCCGAACAACCATCTTTTCACCGGAAGGTAGGCTCATAATATTCTATGCAGAATTATTCTGATAAATCCTCATCTAGGCCGGCTATACCAGAGTAGGCTCCTTTACTCTAAAAGACTTCAATCAGTTAACATCTTATGCAGTCGAATATGCCATGGAAGCAATCTCCCATGCAGGAACGGTCCTTGGAGTTTTAGCAAAGGACGGCGTGGTACTTGCAGCAGAGAAGAAGGTCACTGGCAAGCTCCTCGATCTCTCAGGCGCGAAAGAGGGCGGATATGGTGGCAGCGGAGAGAAGATCTTTCTACTAAATTCGTGCGTAACTCGAAACTTTGGTTTGCAGCATCTCAGCTCTTAACTGGATAATTAGGAATGTTATCGGTGGTGTAGCAGGTCTTACTGCCGATGCCAATTCTCTGATAAACTTCGCTCGATCGGCCGCGCAACAGCATTTGCTGCAGTACAATGAGGATATCCCTGTTGAGCTTTTGGCTCAACGTCTATGTGACATGAAGCAGGGTTATACGCAGTACGGAGGTGCGTTTTCTTCAATGATCTATGTTCTGCTTTGGTTCTGATCCACGTTATAGGTCTTCGGCCATTCGGTGTCTCGTTGCTCTACGCTGGCTACGACTCGCATTATCAATTCCAGCTCTATCATTCCGATCCATCAGGCAACTACTCGGGCTGGAAGGCCACTTGCATCGGCGCCAACAACGGCACAGCACAGAGTCTACTGAAGCAGGAATACAAGGATGATATCGAAGTCAAGGCTGCGATTAGTCTGGTGCTCAAGACCATGAGCAAGACGATGGACAGTACGACGTTAGGGAGCGAAAAATGTCAGTCCTGATCGTAGATCTCTGAACCTTGCTTTGAGCTGACATCTGCCTAGTGGAATTCGCTGTCATTACTCTTGACCCCGAAACAAAACTTCCCAAGGCCAAGATCTACAGGCCGGATGAGATTGACAAGTTATTGGAAGCTGAGGGATTGGCCAAGAAGGAGGACGACAATGCCATGAGGACGTGATGATTTTGTATTCTTTTGTGTATTAATGATTCAAAACAATGTTACGGGTTTCGCTAGATTATTTGAGCAGTAAAATTGGTGACAGAGATATGATATG